CTGTCAGGGTCTTGTGTTTCAAGTCTGATATGTATTATGGTTGTGTTGTGTGTTTTTTATGTTTTGTGTACATGTGAGCCTTACTGAAGACAATTTTCAATAACTGGTTGATAGATAATGAAGTTTTAAATAAATAAATAAATAAATAAATCCATTCATACATACATAAACACATACATACATCCTAGGCATGTGACGAGATCTCAGGCTACGAGATCTCGCGAGATTAAATCACGATGAGATTTCTCATTGAGGTGAAAAGTTGTCTCATGAGTTGTGATGTTATAATGTAGCGTGAGGGTGAATTTTGCACTGAAGATTGGAGGCAGAATTGGATTAGAACTACACATCAAGTGCTTTGCACACACCTAACAGGTTGGCCTCGGAGTTGCGTGTCACTTGTTTGGGGCTGGTGAGTGTGAATAACCGATTTTTTCTTCACCAGGGTTGTCGCGTCTTAAAGCAGAGGCTGCTACAACTGCAGCCACACGCAACAACCACGGCTCATAACATACGATGGAATAGCACTTTAGATATGCTTACAGCCATAAATATGATAAACACTAATCAAATGTCAACACCTAAATAATGTTGCTAGCATTTTTTTTCTGCTAGCATATCTTCTTGGATTCCATATATAGAATAAAGATAAGCCATATTATTCTGGAACTACTCATTGAATCCAGGTGCGAGTCACACCAAGTGAAGCCTTGTGCACTGCGCAGAACTAACTCATCTAGAGGGAAGCTTAAATATTTGAGACAAAGTCAAGACAAAGACTAGCATTAATGGGATTTGGTCAATATCGGAAGCAAGTCTAAAAGCCCTTCCAAGTTTAAGAACCCGGCACCTAATCATGCTCAGTAGTAAAAATAAAGCTCTGCCTCACTCTTTATTATTCATCAAAATCATAGCTTCTGTCAGTCACAAGCAGGCTACCAGATTTGACTTGTCATAAAAAATGCCCTTTATATTCTTGGCCTTTTAATTATACATTACTCAGTCTCTTTATATATTGAATAGCGCTGATCCTGCATGGAGCCTGGAGGCAGTTGTCTTTCTCCCGCACTCTCAGTCTCTCTCTCTGTGCCTAATTTCCTGTTGCCCCCCATTCGGCTTTTCAGCTCAAAATCCTTCACACGGAAGTAGAGAGCTATTGGTGTGAACAACAACAGAAATGGAAAGCAGGATGATTTTGGTATCAGAGAGAGAGAGAGAGAGTGGAGGAGAGAAATAGGCGGAAGTGGAACAGAGATGTGTGAAGGGTTACGCGCTGGAGTGTGACGAAAGTAGAGGAGAAATAGTGAAGCGGAGCAAAAGGAGAGAGAACGAAAGAGGAAGAGGGAAAGAAAAGACTAAGAAAATGAGAAGGATAAAAATCGATAGGCAATTGAAATGCTTTTTTAGTGTGAGATGCCCTCTTTTTCACCAAATTATTGGCACCAGTGCCAGGCCCAGTGTTTGGCTGTTAATTATAATGGTAGCGATCGAGATTGCAATTCTGAAGTTTTTTTTCTTCAATGGAAATGTGGGAATTATTTCAAGTTTGACACCTGGAATGGATGTACACATTGATAGATAGTAAAAGATTGTGTATTTTTAGCTGCTAAACACTTGAAACTGATGGTTTCATTCAGACTCAACTATTGATCAGCTTGTGGAAGTTAAAGATCAGCATGTGGAATGGTTGCAGTGGATAATAGTGTGGAACAACAAGTGCATTAAATATCCAGATTTCACTTGAGTTACGTTAGACGAGAAGACAACAGACAGAGAATCAAAGAGGAAGATGGAAAGAAAAGACTAATGAAATGAGAAGGATGCAAATCGATAGGCAATTGAAATGCATTTTTAGTGCGAGATGCCCTCTTTTTCACCAATCTATTGGCGCCAGTGCCAGACCTAGTGATTGGCTGTTGGTTATAGCGATCGAGTTTGCTACTGATTTGTTTGGCTGCTGGTGTTTTTATATCTTCAATGAAAATGTGTGAATTATTTCAATCTGGCCACCTGGTTTGGTACCTGGAATGGATATAAACACTGATAGATAGCGAAATATTGTGTATTTTTAGCTGCTAAACACTTAAAACTAATGGTTTCATTCAGATTCAACTATTGATCAGCTTGTGGAAGTTAAATATCAGCATGTGGAACGGTTGCATTAGATAATAGTGTGATACATCAAGTGCACTAAATTTGCAGACTTCACTTCAGTTCCTTGAAACCTGGAGCCAAACAGAGAGAAAATTTAATGAGGAAAATGGGAAAAAATACTTAGAAAATGGGAAGGAAAAAAAATCGATGGGCAATTAAAATGCTTTTTTAGTGTAAGATGCCTTATTTTTCACCAAATTATTAGCATTGATGCCAGGCCCAGTGTTTGACTGTTGATTGTAATGGCAGTAATCGAGTTTGCTACTGTTTTGTTTGGCTTCTGATGTTTTTATTTCTATAATGGAAATGTGTGAATTATTTCAATCTGGCCACCAGGTTTGGCATATGGAATTAATTTAAACACTGACAGATATTTAAACATTATGCATTTTAGCTGCTAAACATTTGAAACTAATGGTTTCATTCAGACTCAACTATTCGTCTATTGATCACCTTTTTGAAGTAAAAGATCAGCTTGTGGAATAGTTGCAGCAGATAATAGTATGATACATCAAGTTCACTAAATATGCAGACTTCACTTTACCTTAGACCAGCAGAAAACGGAGAGAGAACGAAAGAAGACGACAGGATAAAAAGACTAATAAAATGAGAAAGATAAAAATCGATGAGCAAATAAAATGCTATTTTTAAGTGTGTGATGCCCCTTTTCATCAAATTATTGATGCTGGTTCCAAGCCCAGTGTTTGGCTGTTGATTATAATGGTAGTGATTGAGATTTCTACTGTTTGCTTTGGCTTCTGATGTTTTAATTCCGGTTCTGGCACTCAGAATGGATAAAAACATTGGTATTAAAACATTGTTCATTTTTAGGTGCTAAATGCTTGAAACTAATGGTGTCAATCAGATTAAGTTATTGATCAGATTGTGGAATGGTTGCAGAAGATAGTAGTGTGGTACATCAAGTGCACTAAATTTGCAGATTTCACTTCAGTTACCTGAAACCAGGAGCCAATGGAGAGGAAATAAAAGAAGACGGGGAGAAATGACTAATGAAATGAGAAGGAAACAAATCGATAGGCAATTGAAATGCATTTGTAATGTATAATGTGAGATGCTCACTTTTTCACCAAATTATTGGCAGTGGTGCCAGGCCCAGTGTTTGGCTGTTGATAGTAATGGTAGCGATCGGGTTTGCTGCAGTTTTGTTGGGCTTCTGATGTTCTTATTTCTTAAATGGGAATGTGGGAATTATTTCAATATGGCCATAGAGTTTGTGCAATTTTTGGCTGCTAAACACTCGAAACTAATGGTGTCATTCAGATTCAACTATTGATCAGCTTGTAAAAAAGTTAAAGATCAGCTTGTAGAACGGTTGAAGTAGATAATAGTGTGGGACATTAAGTGCACTAAATAAGTAGATTTCAGTTACCTGAAACCAGGAGCCAAAGGAGAAAAAAAAATTAAAAAGGAAGATGGGTAGAAAAGACTAATGAAATGAGAAGGATAAAAAGCAAATGAATTATTCTTTTTTATGTAAGATGCCCTTTTTTCACCAAATTATTGGTGCCAGTGGCAGGCCCACTGTTTGGTTGGTTGATTATAATGGTAGCATTTGAGATTTCTACTGTTTTGTTTGGCTTCTGATGTTTTTATTCATTATTGATGTAGGAATTTTTTCAATCTGGCCACTGGATTTGGCACCTGGAATGGATTGAAGCACCTTTAAATAGCAAAACATTCAAAAACTAAAGTGCATTTTTAGCTGCTAAACACTTGAAACTAATGATGTCATTCAGATTCCTCTATTGATCAGCTTGTGGAAGTAAAAGATCAGCTTGTGGAACAGTTGCAGTAGATAATAGTGTGGTACTTCAAGTGCATTAAATTTGACTTCAGTTACCTGAAACCAGCAGTCAATAAAAAGACTTGCTAATTGGCTGAGCCAAGTGTTTCCATTTCTGCAAATCATTATAAGCTACTTTAGTGATTGACTGAATATGAAAATAAAATATCACTATTTAGTGCTGCTATTTTATTTGATTCTTTGCTAATTGTACTTAGTATAATTTTGTGTTCCAATTTCATGCTGTTCCTCTAATGATCCAGAACTGTTTTTGTGCCACATGAATATAATTCTGAAATAGTATTTCTGCCTTTTCTGGGAATAAAAGATTCAAGAAAAATATTAACTTTATTACGGTTCCAACACAACACCCACCTTCAACTGTTACCCAGAAAAAAAGAAAATATATCAGTAAGAATCGATTCCTCCTTACAACTGCAATATTATTTATTGCATCAAAGCTCTGTTGTGATTTTTTATCTTCAACAACAGTGTCATATGAACAACAAGTCTCATAACCATCAAGAATAATAGAGCAGATTTTTTTTTCCAGATTTTGAACGTGTATGATTAAAATTGAATCAGAGTTCAGTGAACAATAAATTAAATACTTATTTTTAAACATAGCCTGAAGATCTACAATGTGATTTTTAAATTTAGGTTTCTTTTAACATCATTTTAATATGCATGATACATTTTAATGGATAGTTCACCCAAAAATGAAATTTCACTCATTAATTACTCTCACAAATGGATTCAGAAGAAGGCTGAAAACCTGTGACAAACCAATACAAAGGAAGTCAAAGATTAAAGGTTTTCAGAATTCTTTAAAATATCTAATTTTAGGTTTAACAGAAGAAAGAAAGTCATCTAAATTTTCAGTGAACTATCCCTATAATATGAATTTTTATAAAAATTTTTACTTGCAAATGAGGAAATTTTCAGGTCCACTAAACATAGATGTGTAAACAAAAAGCCAAAATGCATATAAATGATTCCATTTAAGCTGGAAACGTTGTGTAAACGCCACTTCAGTACTCACCACAATTCCAAACTGCTCGGATTCACAAAGCTCCTCATATTCATTCTTCAGTTCGGCCAGATTGCTCAGTTCTTTCTGCTCAGGAAGGTTTTTGATCAGGTT